AAGGGTAGCAAACGCCCTAGATACGTGTTTCACTTGTGACAACGCCTTTACGAAATTTATAACCTGACGTACGTAGCTCTTCATTTTGCGTCCCTACGTCCCTATATAAGCTATCCGACTCTCTACTTCATTTAACAAGAGTTCCTACTCAACCTCCCCATCTTACATAAAGACCGTGAGTCGCCCCTGGCTTTATTAAAAATTTACTTACTCCTTCAGCTCCAGACACCTTCACATCGAACCAGTAAGTAGCTACGGTGAAAGACTGCAGACGCAGCATCCTTCCCACTTACTCCTTTTGCTATCTTTAACCCAGAATTCATCTTATCTTCGGTATATACTCTCGAGCTGCCCTTCGGCCAATTTGAATTTCCCGGCAAAACGTCGCAGCTACTGCTCTGGTGCATTGAGAGACTATACCCGTATATCCTTAAATAAAAATGGAAAAATTCTTTTACTATAATTCATAACGTACCTCACTGCCATACTCAAATTCCAACTTGTTTTACGTACAAAAGTCCCGCCTGTTACGGATATGTTTATGACTCGCGCAGTCCTTCGTTAACCGAGAGTATTAGCCTGCGCTTAGTTCGCGTCCCACAGGCTTGTTTATACACACAGTGCTTTCAGGATAGGACAGCCAAGTATACGGAAACGTAATGGCTCAACAGTTTAGTATATAAATATACAGCTTAGCATGGGTATACGTACTGATGTATTGTGACTTGATTTTTCGATTCACGGTCACAAGGCGATTTCGGCTACCGATACGGATAACGTTCTCGAGAGATAATTTTTTCAAAATTCCCAAAGAGCGTAACTCCGTCATTTCGTTGAGCCAGTTCAAATCTGCAAATGGCAGCTTATTCATAATCGTTTTGTTATCGCCTTAAGTTTTTTCCGTGCTCCAGAGTCTGTACAATTCCGAACTCTGAGGTGTAAACGAAAATCAAAGTGGCACGGAATTGGCTGGACGCCCGTCTGACATGCGGATGCATGGGGCGAAGGGTTGACGGCCGAAGGTCACTCTCGTTATCGTCGTCGAGTAAATACGCAGCAATACGTACGTACGCATTAGACACTTAAGGCGCGTTCACACCGCTAACAACGAACGTCCCAGATAACAAAGGGCTTTGTACGGCATTGTACAGCCACAGCGCGAAGCCTGTATATACCATAAAGCATTAACACGTAAATGCGGTTACGAAAGCGACGTACAATTTGGTCCGTCGATTCAGTGCTGCCACCTTTGGAGCGGCGGCTCGTCAACCCTTGCGTTAAAGTGGCGCCGGGACTCAGACGACTGGCTCTGGACAAAGCCTACGCGATATACGAAGCTTGTGTACACGGCATAAGGTTGCCGCCGTAGGTAACAATACCCCCCGCGTCTCCCTGTACATTTTCCAGCGAGCACAAACGAGTCGTAACTTTTTATTTTTTTACTTACCTCTCCCCTCCTCACTTTTCACTCCCACGCAGACGTCCCTCGGCTTCGTTCCTCACGCGGGGCACGTAGCGGTTGGATTCACGGAATGTCCATTGTGTCTGTTCGCACGGAGCGACAAGGCCGATTACAAAGGGGCCCTTTCATGAATTGTCTCGTCGCCCGACTTTTCGCCGACGAACTTGCCTCCGCGCTTACCCAACTACATTGTCTCTTACCATAGGCACTGCGGTCGTGGGACAGGCTGGTATTGAGGGTTACAAAAAATATATATATTTTTGTTCCGCTACCCTTGTCCTGCTTTTTCTTTACGACAAAATGGCGGCGTCGTTTTTTAAAAACATCCAGCTAGCCACCTAACGACCCAATGGCCGTGTACTGATATAGTGAAATCCGTTCGATACGTTGCTTCCATGGCTGGTAAGTAGCAGATAGGTACCTACACGCCCCAGTTCCACATTGTTAATAATGGAAACGTCGACGGTGCATGATGCAAGTAAAATTACGAACGCGTAACGCGATATTTTCTCGCAAGTCGCTTTAGCCTTTTTTTTTTTCTTCTCTCGGTCAACCTTGGTCGTTGGGAAGGAAAACAAAAGGCTCTTTCTAACCCAGCAGTGGCCTTCGATCGTACTCGCCTCGGGATGCTTCGTGCGGATGTCTCGGGTGCTGTCCGTGTCTCTCTTGCTCCTTCCTAAGGAAAGGGAAGGAGAGGCCTGTGGAAAGTATTCATCATTTATTTTGACCTCGCCCACCTTTTTCCACCAGTCCGATGGATTTGTATTCTCGCGGTGGGCGACGTAATTTCAGGGCGCCAACGTTGTACAGGGAACACTGGGTATAACGCTGTGTAAATTGTTAAGCAACCGGTGAAACGGGGAAGTGCCGGGGGATTGGGTCGTGGGAAATTCCCTTGGAATATAGAAATTTAACGGGAAGGACGAAGTCGAGTATTTACACATGAGGAGAATGCGTGTGACTGTAACACCCACGTATTTCAATCCTGCCCCTCCCCCCCCCCCCCC